CTGTCTCTCCAGGTGTGCCTGTTGTTACAGACATTTCATATAAATGGCATCATATACTGTGTGATCATTTGTGACTGGCTTCTTTCACTTAGCATGTGTTTCAAGGTTTGTTCACATTGGTAGCATGTATTAGAACTTCATCCTTTGAATTGCCAAATAATATTCCATTATATGAATAAACATTTATTTAATTTTTTTGAGACACATTTTCACTCTGTTGCCCATGATGGAGTGCAGTGGTGAGATCTTGGCTCACTGCAACCTCTGCCTCCTGGGTTTAAGTGATCCTCCTGTTCCAGCCTCCCCAGTAGCTGGGATTACAAGTGCACTCCACCACACCCAGCTAATTTTTGTATTCTTAGTAAAGATGGGGTTTTGCTATGTTGGTCAGGCTGGTCTCGAACTCCTGACCTCAAGCAATCCACCCGCCTCGGCCTCCCAAAGTGCTGGGATTATAGGCATGAGCCACCGTGCCTGGCCATATTTTATTTATCCAGTCATCAGTTGGCAGATATTTGGGTTCCTACCACTTTTGGGCTATTATGCATAGTGCTGCTGTGAACCTACATGTACAAGTGTTTGTGTGGACATAGGTTTCCATTTTTCTTGGGTATATGCCTTGAAGTAGAATTGCTGGGTTACGTGGTAATTTACTGGTTTAATTATTTGTGGATATCTAGCATTGACCTTCCATATATTAATATGTATCTGTTATTTGTATCTTAAGATAGTATATTTCATAAATGTTTTATATGATTTTTCTCATTGGCTTTTGTTTTATTTCCTTTTTATTGTTAAACAAAAGATTTTTTTTTTGAAAAAAGATACTGTGTTTAGCCATCTTATTTCTGATGACAAATTCCATTTACTAGCTATCATACACTTTCCTCTATTCTTTATGAAAGTTAAGCAGTGTTTTATTCTGACTATTTGACTATCTGGAGTTGACTTCTTATTTTCTTTAAAGGTGACTTTAGAGATGAGATAGGGAGATGAGGATTTTTAGTAAGGTGGAAGTGGTAGTCAATAGAAAGATTTCCAGAAGGAGCAGTTGACAGTTACCCTTTATTGGCTTGCTTAAGAAGTTCCCTGCAAGACAAAGGAGAAAATGGTGAAAAGGGAAGGTAGTCATTAGTAAAATATCATTTTACTCCTTACAGCTTTAATGTTGCAAGATTCACTTTTAGGGCACACTTTTGAAACCTGTCGGTCTTTTGATCTTTCTCTGGTCTATAGGTTTCCAGAGTTTACTTTTCCTTCATTGTCATCTTCTTTCCCCTTCAAAACCTATGACACTAGGATTGTAAGATGTGGTAATAAGCTCTGCGTTTTTCAGTCGTCACATTTAATCATAGTATCTTCCTGGTTTTCAGAAATAACTGAAATCAATTTAAAATAGCAGTTTCTTTAGTCAGTATAGACAGTGGGAGATGGCAGAAATCGTGGGTCTCTTGCTTCCAGTTTAGCACTCTGGGTTGTAAAATTTGGCTCCATAGAAATAAAATTAGGTGGTCAGCTACAGCTGTAGTTAAATTCAGTAACGTGAGAGAAAATACAGGCACTGGGGATCGTGGGCTGTTCATGTCTTCATTTCTAGTGGGATACAGGAGTAATGAAGTTTCTAAGGCAGAATAAGGGTCACAGATTTTCTTTAGGTAATTTTGCGACTTTTCTAGTTTGTCTTTCTTTTTACATGTATTATGCCATTAATAACAAAACTTTTTAAATTGTATTTTTAGAAGTTCTCCTGGTTCTAGATTGACTGTGATAGCAGTGTAACCTTCAGCAGGTTACTTACCTGTCCTCTTTAGGTCCCAGGTTCCTTGCCAATAAAATGAGAATGAAAACTGTATCTAATAATGGGTATTTGTATTAAGCACAGTGCTTGGAATACATTAAAAGTACTTATGAATTTAGCTCATTGAGTCTACATTGTGCTAAGCTTATAGGCCAGCATTAGCTTAATCTTCTAGTTGTGATCTAAGGACATTTGTTTTTACATTCTTGTCCTACATTTGAGACTGGGTTAGAGAATAAAAGAAGGAAAACAGTGATCCTCCAATAGCTAGAATGATGCCAAGTGGTTCCAGAGTAGAAAGGTGTTGAGCTGCTAATTAAGACCATACTGATAAAACCAAAACAACTAGAAATAATGTCTGGTTGGAAATACTCATTTCACTTATGGGAGCAAACTTTTTAATAGTTCATAAAATGCCATCTCGGTATTTGGGAGCTAAAAATCATTCAGGTTGTCCGTTAAGAAGACTCTCCAGTATAAAACTAGCATATAGCCATCTTTAGGTAAACTAAATAATGTGGGGAACAGAGAAAGCACAGGTTAGCTTCCTATATGATTGTCACCCAACAGAATAAAATTTCACTCACAGCACCTAAACAGAGCAGAGGCCAAGTTTGTCAAGTCCATTTCAGATTTTTTTAAACTTCAATTTTTATTTTATTGTAGTAATAACACTTAACATGAGATCTATCCTCTTAACAGAATTTTTAAGTGTATAATATATTCAACTATAAAAACAATGTACAGCAGATCTCTAGACTAATTTTTGTGTTGTGTAACTGAAACTTTATTTCCTCTAGCACTCTGCCATTTCTGCACACCTTAGCACCTGGCAGCCACCATTCTGCTTGCTGCTTCTATGAGCCTATTTTAGATACTTTATGTCAGTGGAATCACACGGTATTTGTCCCTCTGTGACTGACTTGTTTCACTTGGCATAATGTCCTCAGGGTTCATTCATAGTGTCACATATTGCAGTATTTCCTTCTTTTTAAAGGCTGAATAATATTCCATTGTGTATACACACTGTGTTTTTTTAATCCATTCGTCTGTCAGTGGACATTTAGAATATTTCTGTATCTTGGCTATTGTGAAGCATGCTGCTGCAGTGAACATGGGAGCCCCAATAGCTCTTCAAGATAAAGAATGTCTTAGTTTGAAGTCTCCTGGACATCACAGAAATAAATGTCTTAAAGAAAATCCTTCCTCTTTTCTTCCACATTTGGTCCTGCTCCCCAGGAAAGCACCTTCATCTACCCAGGTGGCAAGCCAAAATCCTGACATGGTCTTGGTCAAATGCTCTCCCCACCCTCCACGCTGAGTCCATCACCAAGTCCTGTTGATTCTGCCTCTGAAGTATCTTCCTCCTCTGGCTCTTGCCCACATGCCAGCCCACAGTGTGGCATAATGGACCCTTGTGACACTTCTGGTCAGTCTGCACAGCATTGTCACAGTGATTATTTAAAATCCCTCCTTGATTCTCATTGTTCTTAAAGTAAGATTTAGACATTCTCAATGTGGCATCTATATATCAGTCCTTTTCCAGTTCCATCTTTTCCACCCCCACCCTCTGTAATCCAGCCATAGTGGCATTCTTTAAATTCCAGAGGTTTGCTGAATACCCCCTCACCCCGCTGTCCCTTTAGAGTTTTGTACAAGCTCTTCCTTTTGAGGACCCCTTCTACCAAATGAGCCCCCACTAATCCTTCCTCCCAATTGAAGCATTGTTTCCTCAGACAGGCTCCACCCAAGCCCTCGGACCAAATTAGGTTCTATTCTCTTGGCATATCTAAGTATCCTGAACTTTTTCCTTTAGAACACCTTTAGTAATTGGTAAGATTTCTTTCGTTGGGTAATTATTTGCTCAATATCTGGCTGCTCCGTTGTCTGTAAGATCCCTCAGGGCAGGGATCATATCTTTTTTGTTCATACTCAGGCCTAGCACTAGATGCATAGTAGAGTCAATATGTATTTGTAGAGTGAGCAAAATAAATCAACATAAAAGTTTAAAAGCACACTTAAATATTGCACAACAGAATGTGTTTAAAACTTAAGGCTCTGGCCGGGCATGGTGGCTCATGCCTGTAATCCCAGCACTTTGGGAGGCCAAAGTGGGTGGATTGCTTGTGCCCTTGAGTTCAAGACCAGCCTGGCAACATGGTCAAACTCCCTCTCTACTAAAAATGCAAAAACTAGCTGGGCATGGTGGCAGGCCCCTGTAATCCCAGCTACTCAAGAGGCTGAGGCATGAGAATCGCTTGAACTTGGGAGGCGGAGATTACAGTGAGCCAAGATCATGCCGCTGCACTCCAGCCTGGCTGACAGAGCAAGACTCCATCTCAAAACAAAACAAAACAAAACACCAAAAAACTTAAGACTCTAACTTAATATATGGAATTAAGTTTCTAACCCTCGCATGAAGACCTTTATTAGTTTGTGACTAAACCAGGCATATGTTGCTTTTCTGATCTGTCAGATTTTAGAATTTTTATTACCAAAGAATATATTTGACAACAGAAAAATACATTTTATCAGTTTGACAACAAATATTTATTGATCATCTGGTGTTTGCTTGACATGGTTGTAGATGCTCAGGATACAGCTGGCAGGATGCAGCTTGCTTTCTCATGAGGACAGACAGTGTACATGGAGAATTTCAGCTCCTGAAAAATACTCTGGTCTAAATAAAACAGAGTCATGGCAGGGGCAGGAGGCTAGAAAAGTCCTATGTGAAAAGGTAACATTTCAGCTAGCATTGGAGGGGCAGGGAGTCAACTGCGGGAGATCTGAAGCAGAGCTTTCCAGGCAGAGGGAACGACCAGGCCATTCAGGGAACGGAGGGGTGGGCAGTAGTCCTGGGCACAGTGAATGAAGGACAAACACACACTTTTATGGAGATGCCATGGCCTGAAGTTCTTATTCTGCCCTTTATGGCCGAAGACAATGATGATGTCCAACTCTTAAGAATGTTGCTAAGTAAGGTAATGAAAGTATATAGTAGTAATAATACATATTACTAATAGTTTTAAACATAAATAATATCCCTTCCACAGAATTTGTGTGAAGGAGAAAGTAAATGTTACTTTAACTAATGATTTTATTTGTGTGTTTAATAGTTTACTAATTTATTATCTTTTAAAACAATATGCTATGTTGCTAATTATTTGCAAACATTAATATTTATATTGATTTCTCTTTAAAGGTTAAAAAGCTGAAGAGAGAACTCTCACAGATGAAGCAAGAACTGCTCTATAAAGAACAAGGCTTTGAAACATTGCAGCAGTAAGTATGAAAATACTGAATCAATTTTAGAATAAGCTCCCCAATAATAATACAAAGAAAATAGAAGTACAGATTACATAAGAGATTTCTCAAAGAAACGTAAGTTCAGAGCTCTACTGCAAAAGAAAACAAAACAATCAATCAACAGATGAAAAACTTGGGAAAGATCTCTACACTTGAAAAGATCCAAAGTTTTTATTAATCATTGGAGATCTAAAGATACCAAAGTGAAAAGCCTTTGTCTTACCTTTATCTCCTGGACCCTTGCTGGCCTCCTCTGAGATGTGGTGCAGATCTAAGAGACTAGGCACAAGAAGTTCCTCTCCACATTAGACTGGGCCTGCTGCACTTGACCCCTATGTAAGCCTGCAGCTGCCCTGGGCCTTCGGGTGGAGGCGTGTCTGTCTCCCTCTGTCAGCCCCAGGGATGACCTAGAGTCTAACCCTGACAGATGGCAGGGGAACAAGAGCAAGTCAGGATTATTAGCAAAGGAGTGGGAGTGCACGCCTCACTTCTTGCGTTCCTCTGTCTTTCCCGTTTGGTACTGAAGTCTGCTGGGCCATAAGCAGAGCCGTAGGCTGGGCCAGGTTAAGTGGAAAAGGGGGTGACAGTGGGTCATAGGATCAGGATATTCCTTCCCCATTCCCGGCCCCTGAAAGCCACTGAATGCCTGATGCCTTCACTGATATGACGCCTTAAAAGCCCTTGTTTTAGTTCTAGAGCTAGTCTAGAATTACCATTGGTAATTCTAGAGAAAGCCACTATTCTCCCTGCTGCTGAGGCCCAGCCCATGACAAAAAGCATGACAGGCACACCTGGACCTTTCTAATCCTGCAGTCTACTCCACAGGGAGTCTCATGGGAGAGAAGCAGTCCATGGTTTTCACAGCCGCATGACCATGGAGAGGAGGTAAAACTTCCCTCCTGCTTGGTGCCTCCAAGTGCGGTACAATATTTCTAGGGATATCCCTGGTCAGTGTCATGTTCAGACAGGTTTCATTTTCTTCCCGGCATCTCCCTTGGTAGCACCTCAGTAATGCCAAGCTGGTCTCAGGCGTCACCTCTGTGGAAAGTACCCAGCTGTGTTTCTTTTCCCTGTGGAATCCTATTTTGCCTTCTGCTCTTAGGAAATTCGGGATGCTCCAAGCAGCAAGGTGTCACCCCCTTTAAATATCCTGTGTATCATTGGCCAGACAAACTGGTTGTTCTTGTTTGGGTGATTAGTCATACCTTGAGATACCCAGGCGCTGCTCTTGACCACCAGTCAGACACGTGACTTTAATTTCCCACATGTGCTTTTATCACTCAGACTTCTTTTTTGCCTGCTCACTGCATATAATCATGACCTTAATATTCCTTCAGATGCTCCCACCCTAGTGATTCTCAAACTTGACTGCACTTTAGAATAATATGGAGAATGCTTAGAAAAATAACCTGTTTCTAGTCTCTATGCCAGGTATATGTTATGAGATCCCCACTGCTTCTCAAGTACAGCCATATTGTAAGAACCTCAGCTGGCTGCAGAGCTCCCTGGAAAACCAAGCAGAACTAGAATGACATAAATGCGTTATTTAGTAAATGTTTATTAGCATAAAGCAGGGCTTCATGGTGGGTAGGGAGACAAAACAAACTTTGAAGAGTGCCATAAAGTGTTTAGCCATATGTTCCACATTTTTAAGGCACATGAAATTATAACTCACGTCACCACTTGGGATTAAAGGTTAGCCAAACTTGCTGTCTTTGTTATATTGATATAACAATGCTGTATTGTTTGAAAGCAGTTTGCTTGCAAGCAATTTTTATAGAAATCTAAGGCATGTTTAAGAATCTGTCAATAACATTCCACAAGAAAACAATAGACATTTGTTGTAGAAATTCAGGCATTCTCTTGCAGTGATTCTAATCCCTTGAACCAAGAGCAGAAAGAGATGATATCTAACGTCAGAGACCTCTCCTGTTTATCTTAACTATAGACAAAATAAAGCTGTTTTTATTCTAATGTTAGTTACCATACTACTAAAACCCTGAATGATCAGCAATCAAACACAGCAACCAGACTTTTTAAAAAACCACACTCCTGATACTATAAAGGGACTTATATTTGTGGTTATGGCAGAAAAGGTTTAGATAGAATCTTCTTGTAGGCTTTTGTAACTTTTCATTTATTTACAATAGAGTGGAATATATTTGTTGAATGTGGAATTACAATATAATTTAAACTTGAGCTTTCATTTTACTTGGTACACTAGTTTTATGCTGGGTAGACAAATACGGCATTGTTCTCTACGTTATTCGTTCTAGTTTGTGGTCCCAAATCTGACTTTGGCCTAAGCAGTAGTGTAGCCTATGTGTAAATGGATACCAGGAAGATGCATATTTCCATTTGCGGCCTCCAGTGTGCATTCAGAATTGGAAAATAGCCTAGTGCTGAAACAGCAAGTCACAGGCATATACAGATTCTATGAAAATTTGGTTCTCAGGGTGGACATTTTCCAGAGAAGGAATGTAAATGAACATCTTTTCTTTCTCAGAAGAGACTAATATATTGAGTAAAAAATAATTATAGGGCATACTCAAGTCAAGAACTTCCAAAAAAATTTTTAGGAAAAAAATGGCACTTCTCATGTTAAGAACAAAAAGCATGATTCTTTAAGTCAGCAAATGATACTCATATTTCGGTTTATTTTATGACAAATTAAGGTCAAAAGAGAAAAGGTGGGAAATGCAAAGTAGAGGAGAAAAACAAGAAAGAGGGAAATAAAGGAAAAAGACAACACTTAGAGAAGTTCAAAGGAGGCAAAAGAAAAAGACCAAAAAACATTCTATGATAAAAGCTGAGCTATGTTCTTCATATCTAGCATTCTGTTGAGCAGTAGATAGCCAAGAAATTTTCCTGTGTTTAAAGCTCTCTGAAATTTAAATTAGCAGTCTTGAGCTAGTCCTGCTTTTATTTTTAAATGTTAAGGTTTATTTCTGAAAACAACTTACCTGCGTTTATTTTCAAATGATAAAGTTTATGTTTATTTCCAAATCAAAGATATGTTTTATCATTAAATTCTGAAGACTTTACACAAATAGGAAGAAATTACTTGAGCTTTAGAAATTCACTTTGACACAATTTCGGATGTCCCATTACATCCCATTTTATAAAATCTCACGGTTTAGTTTTTAGTTTTTATTTTTAGTTAAAAAGTGCTACATCTGAAAATGTCAAAATGCTATATTTGGAAATATCATTTGTTTTGTTTAATAAACCATTTCCTCAGCTAAGTTGGTGGATATAATACTTAAGGGAGTCAGAAATTCCATTGATAAATCTCTTCCCAAATAAATAGAATTAGCTGATAGTCAAAGTACTGCATTAGTCCCATCAGGTATTCTAAATGTGATAGTCATAAGAGTCCCAGTCCTGAATCTGTCATTTTGGGATAGTTCGCCTGCTAGCTAAGTGTCTGTGCAATTCGTGGTGTAAATTTGCATCAACTTTCTGCCTTGGCTTATTCATTTGCAAGAAGCGTGACTAGGGGATCTTTAGGGGCCCTTCCCATTCTAAACACTGTGTGCATGTGTGTGTGTGTGTGTGTGTGTGTGTGTGTGTGCGTGCGCACGCACGCCTGCATGCGCATATGTGCATGTGTTTAATCTGTGACTTGATTGGTTGTACTTTATTATCAGATGATCTTATGATCAAGTTTATTTTATTTTCTTAGGTTCTTTAAGTCTTTAATTGCTTGTTCAGCAGCATAAGATAGTTACTAAAACAGTACTTGGGGAAATATGTTATCTACAAGCTGTACTTGTTTGAGTAGACTTTGTTTGGAAGAGTGATTAAGATGGCATTGCTTTATTGTTTTCAGATTATACCTTTCACATTAAAAATAAATATTAAGTATTAAATGTTTTAAACCAAATGAGCTCAGAGTCTGTTTTCTCTGATTCAGTAGGTGTTGTTTCTCTGGAGACTCTGGATATAAGACTCAAAACATGTAAACATGTATAGAGTTGTTGGCTGGGGCAGAGGCATAACCATACATCCCATAAGGAAAACTCGTGCTGTATTAATAACAAATCCAGAACAGCACAGGTAGCTGGAGAGGACCAGGAGAATGATCATGAAGAGTACATTAAACTATTTTTTTTAAAGAATTAGGTAATTTGGTTAGGCCCTTCAAACACAAAGAATTAGGTTACATGAAATCCTCTAGCCTAAGGTGACAACGTAAACTGTAAGGACACTTGGTAAGCAGCTCTGCAGGGATAATAAATTAGCTCACTGAAGAGCTGTTTATTCAGTATGAGTTGAGAAATGACCACTGCCCTTCTGCCATTTGCCTAAGTTTGAACTCATTCAGCAAGGCAAGCAATTTTATCTTGACTCATAACTTTCATAAAAGCAGAATAAATACTTATATGTATGTGTGTGTATATATATATCTACATCTGTACATATATATATATATCTACATCTGTACATATATATATATAGATATATATATATATAGAGAGAGAGAAATAAAAAAACTAACCACACAATCCAAACATTATAGAATACTCATTAATATAAATAATAATTTATTGACCATTTATTTAAGGTCTCCCAAGCTGCAGGCCCTGTGCCAGGTTTTGCACAGACATTATAGCAAAACATATAAAATTAGGTGGCAGTTTATTTGCCCCTGTGTTCTTCTGCTAAAGCATTTGCCCATGTCTTTTACCTTTCTTGGGTGAAGATCAGGATCAGCACTTGATGAGGTTTGGGTTCAGCCAGCAGTGGGATCATTCAAACAGATTGAAGACAAAAAGACTTTTTGAGCCCCAAAGTGATTAGAAATGGATTGGGTTTGAAGTGGGGGACGGGAGAAATCTTAGCTGGCTATGATGAAAAGAGAAAGGAGGGGCCGAGGCGTGTGGATCACAAGGTCAAGAGTTCAAGACCAACTTGGCCAACGTGGTGAAACCCCATCTCTACTAAAAATACAAAAATTAGCCAGGAATGGTGGCGGGTGCCTGTAATCCCAGCTACACAGGAGGCTGAGGCAGGAGAATTGCTTGAACTCAGGAGGCGGAGGTTGTAGTGAGCCCAGCTCTGTCCAGCCTGGATGGCAAAGCAAGACTCTGTCTCAAATAAAAAAGAAGAGAAAGGAAGAGAAACAACCTGAAAAGATGATTGCTGGTATATGAGAATCAGAAGTGAAATAATTGGCTAACTTAGACAATTCCAAAACCAGTTCCTACTGTCTAACTTATATACTACCATTCTTTGATATTTTTTCTTTCTTTTTCTCTTTTCAACAGAATCGATAAAAAAATGTCTGGAGGCCAGAGCGGGTATGAACTCAGTGAAGCCAAAGCCATTCTAACAGAACTAAAATCTATCAGAAAGGCCATTAGCTCAGGAGAAAAAGAAAAACAAGATCTGATGCAGGTACATTACAAGACATTTTGTTAAGCCAAACTTGTACCTTCTTAGGCCCCCAGAAACTCTCACTGGGGCAGTAGTGCTCCCTCAGAGTCCGGATGGCCCTTCCATCTCTGTCCCATTCGTGCGGAATGGGCCCTGTGGAGGCTGTTGCAGGCACGAAGGTAGCCTGTTGCCTTGGAGGGAAGCAGAAGGATTCCAAGTGACTGGGACACTTCTTTGTAAGCAGCCTTTGGATGTCCTTTGAGATAGTGGGTGGTGGAGCCTGGAGCTCAGGTGAGGAGATTAACATTTTGCTGCACCCTGAAACTCACTGAAAACTTCATATGGGACCCAGATAAGCAGAATTTGCAGCCCAGGATACACAAAAGATATGTCATTTGCTGTGAGTACGTAGAAGGCATGCTTTTTGGAGATGAGGCTATGTGAGGAGCTTAGAAAAGCTTTCTGACCCAGTTGATTCTGAGATGCCAGCTAAAGGTGGGTGGGGAGTGCCAGCCCGGTAGGGGATGCTTACACAGTTATCCTAGGAAAGCTGCTGATGGCCGTAGATCCCCTTACTAAACCTGTACCCATCTCAGCCTGTGGGTCTTAACTCCCAGTGATCCAGCATCATGTGTGCAAAAAACAAAATAGCCATTAAGTGATCAGTATTCTGAATATCTATACTTAGCAAATACAGTCAAGTTATTTTTAAGGGTGTCTCTCTTCCTCTCCTTTCCTTCATCCCGTAATTATCACAAACACTAAGAATTCTTATTTCATGTATTTGGAGTTTTTACTTAGCTGAGGAATAATTTAGTTCACATCTTTGGGAATCTTAGAGTCATTGATGATGCTTACATTCTCAATAGAACATCTGCATTTAAATACCATATTTAACTACTTCATATTGGTTTTCAAAATATTAGTTGAATATAGATAAATATTCTTGGATCCATGTAATTTTGCATTTTGGAAAATTTGAAATAACTTATGAGATGAGATAAAAGACAACAGACATAATAGCAAATAATTATAAATACTGACTTTCTGCCAGACATTCTTCTAACTGCCTTGCATATAAATAATTCCCCTGATTCTCACAACAACCACTAAAGGTAGGCACTGTTATTCTCAGCTTACAAAAAAATTCAGCACAGAAAAATTAAAGTTTATTAAAGTCATACAGCTGGTAAGTAGCAAGAGTGTTGTTCAAACCCACGCAGTCTGGGTTAATGTGGTTTTAACATATATATAACACGTGCAAGATTTTACTTGTGTGTATTTTGTTTTTGTTCCACAATTGTCTTGCTCATTAAGTCAGTAATTTCAGAAATGCATGTCCTTTAAAAAAAAAGTTAATGGAACTGGAACAAATTTACATTGCAGCCTTCTAATTCAACAATTTTAGGTCGTCTTTCATTCTTCCTATAAACTTTGGATTCATATGCAGGCCCAATTAGATTAAAAGATAAGATTCCTTTTCAGTTATTAAAGTACATAGAATAATTAATTAGTAGATGCAGAGATTGACAGTAGAGTTAGAAGGGACTTTAGATATCTTCTGTGACTTTCAAATCTCTCTGACCACAGTAAGAAATAGATTTTACATCAAAACCCAGTAACACGCAATTGTTGTGTACCTATAGATACACAGGTGTGCATGTGCACACACACACACACACACTCAAAATGAATTTCACAGAAATATGCCTACTCTTAATACTGGCGATGCACTTTGATTCTATTTTCTAGTATCTTCTATTTCATTTAAAAAATACTAGTAGCAACCTACTAAAGTGATTGAATGCATTGCCATCACAGATAAGCTTGAAAAACACTGATTATTTTTTTCACTGTATAGGTGGAAAAATGGAAAAGACTTGCACAAGATCACTATAAGGTTTTTTTTTGTTCTTTTTTGTTATTTAATGTGACCATTTAAGTTTTATCCTCATATATATGTGTATATATATGTATACATATGTATGTATACATATATATATATACATATATACCTATATAGGTATATATGTATGTATACATATGTATATATACATATATACCTATATAGGTATATATGTATGTATACATGTGTATATATGTATACATATATACATATATGTATGCATATGTATATATATACACATATACATATATATATGAGGATATTTATTTATTTATATTTTATGTAAATATCCCTTTGAAAGAAAATAAAGAAAGGTAAAAAATTTCAGATCTCTGGTATTTTCTAATTCCTCCTAATCATGAAAAATTTAAATATCGGGATTAAATACAGGCTTTTTTTGAAGTTGATAATAATGGTTTCTTACCATTTAATTAGTATTACTGTAGGATTTCCTTTTTATTTTTTAAAGTGATTCAGATTAGTCTTTCCCTTTCAATACTTTCACTTGTTCATATTCTCCCTCTAAAGTAAATCACAGTATATTAAACCTGAGTGCCTGCAGCAGGCACATTTGCTTTTGATTATGTTCTTTACCAAGCCAAACATGTCACCACAGGCAGTGCCATGCAGTAGACACATACACACGGGCCTGTTTGAGGCCCGTGCCACTCATTAGCAACTTCTTAGCCTCAGTTTCCTAATCCTTAATGTTGATGTGAACTAAATAATCTCTTGGCTCCTGTCCAGATGTACAATGGCGTAATTGAAGAAGTCTTCAAAGTAGGAGGTTCTCTTACTGTATCTAAAATGAGAGATTATGTTACAGATACTCTGTGTTTCCAGAATTTCTGTTGCATAAAGTGAGTAGGTTCCTATTGCAAGAGACAACTTCTTAATGAAATTTTAAAAAATAAGACATGCATGTATTGTAAAGATACCATTATTCACAGGAAAATGCTATCTTGGGAAAGATAAGACAACTGGTTTAATGTGATCTCTCCCGAAGTCACATGTATGTAGGTACAATATTATTTCCTATTATTTTTTCAATTATATAAAGTGGTAAGTACCTACTAGAATAAAGTAGTTGTTTTTTCCATTGAGATTAGCTCTTTCCTTTTAATTTCACCTGGTGGGGAAGGTTCGCTGTCTTACATGTTAAGCTTTATAAAACACTTTGTGTTTTCTGAACAGAGTCTTGCTAAGCTGCAGGAGCGGTTTCATTTGGATCAGAACATTGGCAGATCTGAGCCAGATTTGAGATCTAGTCCTGTGAACTCTCATTTATCTCTCTCCAGACAGACCCTTGATGCTGGGTCACAAACAAGCATTTCCGGAGATGTAAGTTATCAGTGTTGAAGAGTTGGCCCAGTGTTGTCCTTGATGGGCCTTAATTGCAATATGGATGGTGAACTGAAACCAGAAGTATATGTGACTTGGATTCTGGCTTTGTGCATTGAGTGTTTCATTCTCGTAAGATTAGTTTTAAAAATCATAGTCTTATCTTTTCTGTCTAGGTGCCAAGCATATCAGGATTTGTCCATCTGAATAGCTTTGTTCAAACTTTCTCATGTGGTATTTCTTCTGAGACACATGGAAAGGCTAGAGGCATATAAGAATTTAAGTTTTTCCTATTACATTTAGAGTCTTGGAAATTTAGTCCTTTCAAGTAAACATTAGGCCAGTGAGACATAGAAAAACATGCCTTTTAAGACTAATAAGAAAACTTGTTTTTATAAATCTGAGTTGATTATATTAAAATGTTTAATTTGTGATTTATATCTGCCATTTAAATATTTAATGTGGCTTGGCTATTGTTAACTATTTTACCTTCTCCATTTTGGGATGCCATTAGCAAGTATTTACTTCTTAATACGTTCCCATTTATTTTCATATTTTCTTATGCTACTTTGAAATATGTGCTGTGAAAGTAAACCAGGTAGAGGTCAACGGTAGGGCTTACCTGTTTGAAAATTAATTTTTGAATTTATTTAGTTTATATTTTGTACAGTCGAAAGCTAAATGATAGAAATTAGGCTCAAAAAGGCAAAGAAATTAGTTCCAGTTCATAAATTTTATTGACCTGTACACCCTTCATAAACTCTAAGATATCAGACACATTTACCTTGGTATTTGCAATATCAAGATTTTTTCAATCTTGAACTTAACAAATAGAGAAAATAATGTTAAAGTATTTGAAAAACAGATGAGCTTGAATTGAAAGAAATGTTTTGCCCCTACTGAGACAATAAAGTAAGTGTCTTTTAAAACTGATGTTTCCCAATTTCAATACTATCTTCTTTAACTTTTCAATTACACATACTTCCTAGAAACAAAAGCAATTTACTTCATTCATTAGCAGAGTTAATTGACTTTTTCCTTTTTTTTTTTTTCTTACACTAGATTGGAGTGAGAAGTAGATCAAATTTAGCTGAAAAGGTCAGGCTAAGCCTACAGTATGAAGAAGCCAAAAGAAGGTAATGACAGAGAAGCTGTTTTGTGCATGGCTCCAACAATTTCTTTCTCAGAATCAATCTTTACTCCTGTGGTGACATCTGCTGGGCACTTCCCATACATTCTTACCAAGGTTACCTTTGGGTTGTTAGCACGTAAGGGTTGCTTCGTCTCTGGTCTGCCTTCTCTTCCCCACAACTCCCCTCCACCCCTGCACCGTCAAAGCTGAAGAAGAGGGAGAATTAACGAGAAGTGTGGGAATGAAATTGCCTCCTTCTCTTCTGAGAAAAAAGAACTTTGAGTTGGTACAATACCTAAATTCCCAGTTAAAAGTGAGAAAATGGGTTGCTTTGGTGGAAGCATGATACAGTGGTTCAGGTAAAGGACTAAATAGCTGTTGAGCTCTAAAGCAAATAAGCATGTCTCTTTGATTTGAAGGGAAGTCTTACTGCTAATGTCTTTGAAGGTGCTGAGGTGTCAGTTCCTGTCGACTTATTTAGGGAAAAGGAAGAGAGATTGTTATTTCTCTGTTTTACCTCATAAACTCTTCTTAACCCCTGTGCTATCTTTTTCTTTCTTTGTGATTCTGCTGGAGTGAGACATAAGAGACTTTACCATCTTCATCTGGCTGATAGACTCAAATATTTTTCATAATATAGAACTCCTTATTATGAGGGAAAGAATTATACTGATACATTTGATTTCATTATTTTCCTCATAAGAGCTTTAAAATGCTATTAGGTTATTATTTAGGACATTGGGAAAAACTGCATTATCATCCTGCAGGAAACAGGAATTTGTCATGTTTCTCCCCATGAGTGTGAAAAGCTCAGCTGAGAACCAGATACTGAAGTATATTCCTTATTATTGGTGATGATGATAATTTAAAAGCAATTGACTGTAGTCCTTGGAGGTTATCTGGCTTTAACAAAGCAAAATAAAGACAATATTCACCTCTCTGTAACCTGTGTTCTTAATATTACTTGATTCCTCACTTCCTGAAAGAAAACTAAGCTTCATTCCATAAATTATTAACCATGTGAGCTTGAACAAGTCACTTAGTCAATCTGAACAGCAAATTACTCAGCTAATGTTAATGCCTTTAAAGTTTCTCTGGCAGATTTTAAATTTCTTCAGGGTAGGAAAAAAATTGTAGGCTTTATTGCCTCCTTCTCAGTGCCCAGATTCATGCCTTCCCTTCGATGAGCATTGAGGACCAACTTCGGGTTTTGTGGCTTGGTGATGTACCAGCTTTTGGTAGATACTGCATGCAGTCCTCTTGTGTGTCCACCTGGGCTGTGCTGTGGACAAATCCATGGTTTAGGTCTGCTTTTCTCAAAGAGAATGGCCGTTACTCAGAAGCAGTCTTGGAGAACTGGGCCCTACGCCCCTGCATTCTTTTGGGTTTGACTCTGCTTCCCATGGATCAGCTTCAGCTTTTACCCTCCTTTGACTTCTAAGTTCATTTTATTTGGAGCTCACATGGCATTTCTTTTCCTAAGTGCTTCTAGAAGTCTTCTTCATGTTCTGCTCCCCAAATTCGGCACACCCCTTCTAAAATAAAATTTAAGACCTGCCTAAGGTCTGATCACACAAATAATAAACAGGCACCTCTTTTTCCTGTATTATGTTGTTGCTCCTGGTTCAGTTGGTTAATGCAATCACATCAGAACTTCAGACACTGGTTCTTTCCCACTTGTTTGCATTGCCATGCCATTTGGGGTTTTGTTTTAAAGTTACTAGTGATGTCGATGAGAAGGTAAATCTCAAGGGCTTACACATATGTTGAAAATGTTCTTTCCTCCTTGATTTTGAATAAGTAAAGAGGCAGGTTGTGTTTCTATTAATTCTGTTTTCTCATCCAGCCCTTGTTTTATGTGCTTAATGAAGCTAATAATATGCTTATTTAGCATTTCGATGATTAATTTTCTAGTACGTTGAGACAGTTGTTTACGGTTTGTGGTTAAAGCTGAAGAATAGCTGATGTTACATCTATCATAAGCACAGACGGTGGGAGAAAATCAGAAGTATACTGCATATGCAGAGCCAGTCTAAGATGGCAATTTTAGTTTTAATTAGAACAAGAACCTTACGGCACAAAGGTATGGATCTAATTCCATCTTTGGAATTAGATTATGTTTTTTGTTCACCTTTTCTCTTCCCTTCTACAATTTCTCCCATGAAAATGGGAAAAAATTATTTCTTTTCTGTTTTTCATATTCTGGTGTGTGCTATAAGAATATCCAGAGTAATCATCCAACATTTTTCTGTAGGAATGTAGATTCCTTGTGCTGACATCAGTTGAGTTCATAGTTCGCTGAGATCTTGTCCTCATGGTCGAAAGAACCATGTGCCGTTTACCTTGTCAACAGGCCTGATTGTCTTCACAGTGCCACGTAGCAAGTTATTTGACTCAGGTGGTTAGGACGTTCGTACTGAGACAGGAGTAATGTAACTCTACCATGTGTTATGAAGCTCTAGACATAAGAGAAATCTGGGGTCAGGCAAAATTATGGAACCAGTGAGGTTTGCCTTTGGTGCATTTTCCTCCTCCTCCTCCTGTCCCTGTCCACATCACTTCAGCACCTGTTGTCACTCCAGTGGTGTCACACCAGCTGCCTAGTGAAGTTCCACCGTGTGCTGCCTGCAAATAGCTGTGTACAGAGGAACCACAGGGCGGGCACAATCATCTGTAAAGCATCAGTGCAATGAGTGCTCAGTAAATGGCTTGTATACCAGTCAGGGCACCGATGGGGAGGAGACTCACCTGCAGCTTAAGGAGAGTAGGACTGGGAGAAGGCCAAGCCCTGCCCCTTCTCCATGGCGATGGGAGAGCCTTGGTGGATCAACCCTTGACTCCCTCCCAGGGTCTTGTTTTGTCACCCAGGCAGGAGTGCAGTGGCACAGTTATGGCTCACTACAGTCTCAAACTCCTGGGCCCGTGATCTCCCTTTAGCCTCCCGAGGAGCTGGGACCGCAGGCACTCACATCACTACAGCTGGCTAATTTTTAAAAATTTAAAAATATTTTTGGTAGAGACAGGGTCTCACTATGTTCCCCTGGCTGGTCGCGAACTCCTGGCCTCACACAATCCTTTTGCCTGTCCTCCCAAAGTGTTGGATTCCAGGCATGAGCCACGGCACCTGGCCCGACTGCTCCCATACCAGTTGGTCACACCACTGCTCTGTTTGCTGCCCCCTTCTTCCCTGACTTACTCACACCCTAGTCTCTGGCCAGCCTGCTCTCAGATTCCTATTTCACTAGCGGACAGCATGTATACACAGAGGAATAAAATTTACAGTAATGGAATCGCAGACATTATTGACCTCAGTTTTTTTAAAGGGAACCACCTAAGCATCTTTCCTTTCACCTGCACAGGCAGTCACATGTCAGGGCTGGTCTCTCGTGGCCCCCAGAGCGCTTAGCTTTTGAAGCCTCTGTGTACTTGGCCTTGATGCTTTTGTCACATAGCCGGGTGTGCTCACTCACATGTTAAAGATGGGGAAAGATGTGGGTGACAGGGGAGGGCGGGGTTGGGCCCAGACACTGGCGTGCAAGGGTGCTGCTCCCACTGTGGCCCCTCACCAGTACACCACACCCCTTTCTGGTAAGGTCAGGTTAGGAAAATCTGGACAGCATGTCAACCCCAAATTTGGCCTAGGCTGTGTTTACCTTTCTTGGGAGTTTTAAGTATGTGCATACCTCTTTTATCTCTTTTTTTAGTATGGCCAACTTAAAAATTGAACTGTCAAAATTGGACAGTGAGGCCTGGCCCGGGGCACTGGATGTTGAGAAGGAGAAACTGATGCTGATTAATGAAAAAGAAGAACTTTTGAAAGAGCTTCAGTTCGTCACCCCACAGAAACGTACCCAAGATGAATTGGAACGCCTAGAAGCCAAGAGGCAGCGGCTGGAGGAAGAGTTGCTGTCGGTGAGGGGAGCACCAAGCAGAGCTCTGGCTGAGAGGTGTGTTTTCTTTCTGGAAACGGCGCAGCTTAACTCTTGTGGGGCTGTCTTAACTGGATACTGTTTTCCCTGGGTTTGGAAATCTCAGTTGCATCTGTTCTTAGTGGACTGAGAAACAGCACAAATGGACTTTGCGTAGAGCAGTCAAGTCCTAATGCCCCGCAGGATGAGTTCTGTGTTTGTTAGGAACTTGCAAATGCCTGTGACAGATGTTGAATAACTGAGGAATGCTTACATCAAACCAGGCGTGGACATCATTGATGAAGTCTGGTAGCAACAGCTATAAACTATTGCACTCTGGTAAGAAAGATTATCTACAGCTACAGCAATGAAGCTTCCTGTCCTGGGTTTTATCACTCACAAGAATGCAAAAGCTTATTGCTGTTCATTTCATAAGGAAAAGACAGCTTGCTACCTGTGACATCCTAACAGGTCACAACATACTCACTCGCATTTTGTTTGTCAGTTGCAGCCCTCCTGTGAAACAGGCGAAACTGTAAGGAAAATACTCTAGGCAGTCTTCCTGTCTTTCTGGGGGAAGGTGTGAGTTGATTATTTCATCTAAAAAATCCAGTTCTGTAAAAAGATGAGCTGGAATGTTAAGTGAGGGGACCTCTGTGTGTCAGTCTGACATGAACGCATCTGCATAGGAGCCTGTGTCCAGGCCTTGATGGCAGAAAGGGTTGTTTACCTGTTTCACGACGGACCACAGAGCCCTTGAGAACCACTGCATGTACATCCTTTAGAACACTCAGTAAAGAGCAGTGCCTGTTTCAGAGTGATGGGAAAGATTCACACTGATAGAATTTCAAGTGACCTGGAAGTAAGTTTAAAACACCCAGCCTTAATCCAGTTGCTTAAAAAAAAAATTCTTGGCTTCTTGCCTTCTAATTCCTTTTCCTCAATAAATGTTTAAGGTTGCATGTCTACATAATGTTAAAACATTTGAAAAGTGGGGGGAGAGAGAGAGGAAAAAGTCTCTGACATTCCCAGTTAGGTGTTAGCATGGGGACTCACCCAGCCTGAGGTTAACCATTTTGGGAGAGTTGACGTCTGTGGGTTAAAATGTTGATCAAGGTAACATGCAGCCTCAGTGTCATAGCTGTAGGGAGCATGAAAATGTATCAAAAGGAAAAGACTCTGTGAACCATATTCTTCCACCCTCTTAATAATACTCATCTTCGCCCCCATTCCCTCTTCTTTTCTTCCCCTCTTGTTCTGGCTTTTCTGTCTAATTGTGTTGACCAGAGGGTCAGCCTAAGGAAGTGTCAGGCAGGCTGGCAAAGTAAGGCCCCATCTGACAAAGACCAAAAAGAACAAAAAGAATAAGAAGGCAGGGCAGAATTCTTTTGTTTTGTTGTTGTTTTGTTTTCTGAATTACCCTGTTATGTCTACATTTGTGTACTTAAAGTTTCTAGGATAAACATGTAATAGTCATCAGTAGCTATGATGAAATGGGTAGTTTTTATGTGGTCCGTGGATAAAGCACCAATGATGTTTGGTACTGCTACGTAGAGCTTAATAAAATTTTATATAATTATATATGTCTAATTGGTGACTCTAGGAAGGAACTATAAACAGATTTGTTCTGGCAGAGAAAGAAAATATGTTTGTTTTAATCAGCTTTTATTGGGGTGGTGCTTGCCTTTTTTATTAGGAGTAGAGCTTCCAAAAAGTGACTAATCATGTAACATTAAAAATAACAGTTTGTTCCTAAGTACCTAAACTTTGACTTTTTCCCAAGTACCTAAACTTTATATGTTTGTTTGCACACACATAGTAACTTAAAATTCCAGCAGAAATAGTACGCTTCTTTCTTTTTTTTTTTTAATGAAACACCCAAGAGATAGATTTGAACTCATTAGGAAGAAGAGGTATAAGATATTTTTATAAAAATCATGTATTTACTGAGATCCAGCCACTGGGTTTGTGTCATATGGGGAGTAAGTGGTATGGATACCTCCCGGGCCCTGTCTCCTACGATTGAATGTTAGCAGGGAGGGAAACAGATGTATTTTATGTATGTAGTATGTTGACTTTCTGAATTACTTGGAAGAGCCAGGTCGTTTAGTATTCCAAATAACTGGAGACTAGTTTCCTTATCAGTGTCTATGGCCAAAGGCAAATCCTCATACTTAAATTGCCATCAAAGGTTGAAGGACTCAGACATTCTCCCTTGATCAACTGAAAGTTTTCTAACTCCTATCCTGGGATGCTCAGAGTGACTCCGTGTTTCACAGGTCCGGAAGAGCAGAACCTACTGCTATTGGGAACACTGAATCCTTTCTTTCCCAAGTAGATACAGCCCCGTCTGGCCTTGGGTTTTACTGTTGCTGTTCATGGTTTTGCCTTCTGTTCCCCCTGCTCTGGTATTTTTTCTTACGCTTCTTCCTACCGTGTCTTCCTACTTTGTGTGTGAGTTTTTGCTCTGCTCATTGCTGCTGTTGCACTGACGCTGGGACTTTAAGAGGGAAGAGAATGCTCTTGTCAGCAGTGTCTCACCAGGGTCAAAGCAGGGTTGGCCGGAGCTTCTTTTGGGAAATAGGACTCACTGTGTGAAAGTCAGTTTCATCACAGAACAGATTGTGTGCCACCAACCCCAAATCCTTCCCTTTCTTCTTGGTACCTACATGTCTGTCAAAGCTGCCTGCTACATTCCTCAACATTTTCCTGTTTTCCACTTAAGTTTGGGGTTCCCCATTATTTCACGGGTGACCTCTGGCAAGATTCCGAGTCATTACTGAATGTTGGTCTCCGAAAGAGCTAGATGCACATGAACTTTCAGCCTCTGAGTGTGATCCTCCAGCCCCCCAGCTCTGTTCCTGCCCCGACAGGCTACAGCGTTGCCCACTGGGCCTGAGACAGCGACTGTGCTTGCCACTTGGTGGTGGGAAAGAGGTGCTCATGGTGAAGGATCACCAGGCCAAAAGGGAAATTGCTCGCAAATGAAAAAAGCCTTGCAGGAGAGGTGTTTCTGTGCATCTTTCGTATTCTTTCCATGCAGTTATTGAAAGTTCTTAAACTCTGTGCTTTTCTATAGCTGGTAAGATCTTAATATTGCTCCTTGTTTTTTCACAAAGTTTGGGGGTTTATGTTGTAATTGCCAAGACATCTTAATTGTTTCTTAATTATTTGAATGTTTTTGCCACTGCTTCTGAAAATTTTTTTAAAGCAAGTAGGTGAGCGTATGAGTGTCATTTAGTTTTGAGTGGAAAAAAGACTTTCTGCTTCTATAGATGACATGAAATTTTCCCTAGGTGCAGAGTTCTGAGTTCAGGAGAAACCAGGCTGTGCTTGTCTCCTGCAGGGCACTGAGGGCAGAGGCAGGCAGGTGTGAAGGCCCACACTTCACAAAGGGCAGCTTGAAAGGAGATGTGAAGCCGCTGGGCCCGGGGGAGGACTCTTTTAAGGGCCAAGTAAAGGAAACCCTTTCTCACTCAGCAGACCAAAAGGCAGGAGCTGGAGAAGAACTCAAGAGAGACAGGTGTGCACCCTTTTGAGAGGTCTTATGTCTGCAATATCTTCTAAACCCTGATTACAGGGAAGTTGGGGAGGGTGTTTCGCATGAAATACACCTGGATTCTGAGTAAGACTTCGGGCTGTCACTAGGAGATGCTTTGGTGATCACATCAGAGACCAACTGTGGCCTACTGGGAGGGTGTCTGTGCCTGTCCCCAGTGCCTCCCTCATGCTTCTCCTGGGGAAGGTTTCTTCTCAACACCAGCAAGAACGGAGGGACTGGCGAGGTCACCCTGTGCTGCAGGGAAAAAGGGCTGATGTCTGCCTTCTGGGACTGTAGGAGCTAACTGGGAAACGGGAACAGGAACACAAAGACCGGCATCTGTAGTTCAAAGCAGACATTAAAGGGCTGGAAGAGCAGCTGTCTAGTGTCGCCTGGAGAAGGCTGAGGACGCCCCCTAGTGACAGGGAAGAAGCAGCATTGAAAGTTTCAGTGTGGCTCAGGGTCATATTCTGACGTCATCCTGGTGCCTCCTGAAAGCACTAGAGAAAGTCTTCATTTTAATAAAAGTAATATTGAGTTTTAAAACTTACTTCCAAAGTGTTTCTCTGGTTTTAGAAGACATGGATTTTAGTAGAGTCGGGGGCTTTCTTTAGACCTTTGTGCACCTTTTAATTCAGTCTACTTCATACTACTTTTTTCCTTGTTGAGTTTTTGTTTGTATTTGAAAGATTTTAAAAATGCTTCTTTTAAAAATGCACCTGCCGGGTGCGGTGGCTCACGCCTGTAATCCCAGCACTTTGGGAGGCCGAGACGGGTGGATCACGAGGTCAAGAGATCGAGACCATCCTGGTCAACATGGTGAAACCCCGTCTCTACCAAAACTACAAAAAATTAGCTGGGCATGGTGGCGCGTGCCTGTAATCCCAGCTACTCAGGAGGCTGAGGCAGGAGAATTGCCTGAACCCAGGAGGCGGAGGTTGCGGTGAGCCGAGATCGCACCCCAGCCTGGGTAACAAGAGCGGAACTCCGTCTCAAAAAAATAAATAAATAAAAATAAATAAATAAAAATAAAAAAATTAAAATGCACCTTTGAAAGCCATGGATTAAGAATTTATCATGCTTTTGAGGTATTAAAGAAGATGGCAAGAATTACTTTTTTTAGTTTAACATATAATGGAATAGTGTTGTTGACACATGCAAGGGATGGATACCTATAAATAAAATATGGGCCTGTCTTCTTACTGCCGAAAACATGTATCACATTTCAAAGAGATTGGAAATTAAGGAAATGTTATTTTTCTCCAAAGAAAAGTGGCTAATTTTTATATCACCACTTTGCAGGGCATGCTGAGTCTTAGAACAAGTCAGATTTTTCTTCTCTGTGGAGCACTTTCCCATACATTATTTCATTGATCCCTTTAACAGCCTTATCAGGGAAACACTGGGGAATTATAGTCACCATTTTACAGTTGAGAAAGGTAAGACCCTTGAGTCAGTGACTTTCCCAAGGATATGCAGCTAGTAAGCCGCAAATCAAGACTGGAAACCCAGGTGCCCTTTTTCTGAATTCCATTCTGCTGCTCACTACTCTGAACTAGTTTATTTCAATGATGTCTAAAGACCTTCATATGACATAGACTGTACTTGCATAGACTCTTAGTTGCATAAACCCCTAGGTACTTAGTATATTTTAAAATGACTTACTATTCAAGTATATAGTTCTATAATGCTGTACTCTAATTTAAAAAAAAAACTTTTGCAGTTGAACGTGGATGAAATTTTATGATAATCCGATGCAGATGATGAGATGTGCTATAGTTTGGAAGGAAAATCACTTTTAGGTCATCTTCTTCCTTGAACGGCTCAGCCTAAATTAGCCCACAATGGTAATGTGGACTAAATTGTTTCTTAATTGCTGAAATTCTTATCAAATTAGGGTTGGAAATGTTATCGCTAAATATTATTTTGGAACAAGCTTTACTGAATTCGGTATTTAGGATGACCTTTACCATTGCTGTGAAATGTTTTAGGAAAGGATTCCCAAGTCACAGATCTGTGTCAGGATGCTTAGTCTTTGTTTAGTTTTTTGTTTTCATGGTTGTTTTCCTCCTCACTCTTCTTCCCAACTCAAAGGACCATATTATTTACCCATTTAAAAAGATTCTAGATTACCAGCAATTTTAAATTCTCAGCAACATTGATGATTTGGATAAGCTCCCCATTCTTTAGCCTGGCTGCATGCAGCTCTGCCGCCGACACGTCTTGCTGGGTGTCCTGTTTTCTGTCTGTGGAGTCCATTCAGATTTCCCCCTTGTGATCTGTAATGTTTGTACAATAAAAAAATCTCTCTTTTTAGTTTTCATGTTTTGTTATATTCATTTGAAAATGAATTAATTTCTTTTTTTCTTCCTAGATTGAGATTGGAAGAGAGAAGAAAAGAGCTGCTACAGAAACTTGAAGAAACTACTAAATTAACTACTTATTTGCATTCACAACTTAAAAGGTGAGCTTATCAGATTTTTGAGGTGAAAACTTCTCTCTGAATGTATTCAGGCATATTCATGTTCATCTTTGATTACTTTTCACTTTATTTCCAACTACTTAAAAGTAAATAAAATCGACCAGGTGTGGTGGCTCATGCTTGTAATCCAAGCACTTTGGAGGCCGAGGCGGGCGGATCACCTGAGGTTGGGAGTTCAAGACCAGCCTGACCAACATGGTGAAACCCTGTCTTAAAAAAAAAAAGTAAATAAAATCATTATACTAGTACAGTTAATATTTGAGTGATCAAATTTAAAGTCACATTTTCTTTTGCATGAATCCAGTGTCATTTTTGGAGTATATTTGAAATATGTTGTAGGAAGAAGATACGTTTTAGCTGTCAAAACATGCTTAGGAAAATAACACATTTTCACTATTGCCCCATTTTTTAAAAAGGGAAAGTGGGGGAGTTTTGCCTTAAAATAGCCGTAGATTCCCTTACATTGATTAGAAAAATATTCACTCCTCACATTGACACATACAGAGGAAAGGTGAGTGAACCCAAGGGTCTTTTGTATAACCCCTTTCTTTTTATAAGCTTGCCTTCTTTTCTCTAAAAATAAAAAGCTTTTTTTTTTTTTTTAAATAAGAAAGCTACGTTAACACCTTTGCCCTGTTTCTTTTTTTATCCCTTTCAATATTTTTTTTTAATTGCAAAGTGGCTTCTAGATGTGTGTGCAGATAAACTTATCAACAGGTATTTGATTCTTTTTATTATTATTATTATTATTTTTGCAACAGGAGGATAATGTTTAATAAGAATAGATTTGCTACTTAAAGAGTATTTAGAGAACAGGGATGAAAATGTTAGTGAATAAGCACAGACATGGTATACAATTATGTACCGCATAATTACTTTTTGGTCAAGGACGGACTGCATATGTGCTGGTGGTCCCTTAAGATTATAATACTGTATTTTTACTGTACTTTTTCTAGTTTAGCTACATTTAGATACACAAATGCTACCATGGTGTTATCATTGCCTGTAGTATTCAGTACAGCAACTGCTGTGCAGGTTTGTAGCCTGGGAGCAATAGGCTATACATAGCCTATCTACATATAGCATAGATGTGCAGTGGGCTGTACCATCTAGGTTTGTGTAAGGACACTCTTTGGCACATTGATGAAATCACCTAACCATGCATTTCTCAGAACACAACCCGGTCATTAACTGACACATGGCCGTGATAGGGAGTTCCTCTGGCCCTGGGCATTGATTCTGCTCTTTAGCAGATTTCTTCCCTCTGCAGATCTGTAGGAGCCAGTAGGGATTGTGATTAGGTTTTCCATTTTGCAACAGATTTTATGGTGTGTGCTTTTCATCTTTCAGCCTCTCCGCCAGCACCCTGTCCATGTCATCTGGGAGCAGCCTGGGTTCCCTGGCATCAAGTCGGGGCTCTCTGAACACCTCCAGCAGAGGGTCACTCAACTCCCTCAGTTCCACTGAGCTTTATTACAGCAGTCCAAGTGATCAGATAGATGTGGATTATCAGTATAAGCTGGACTTCCTTCTGCAAGAGAAAAGCGGTTACATTCCTTCCGGACCCATCACCACCATCCATGAAAATGAGGTGGTCAAGTCCCCCAGCCAGCCTGGCCAGAGTGGGCTCTGTGGGGTGGCAGCTGCAGCAACAGGCCACACTCCTCCACTGGCTGAGGCCCCCAAGTCTGTGACCTCCCTGTCCTCGAGGTCCTCCCTTTCCTCCTTGTCTCCTCCGGGCTCTCCCTTGGTTTTGGAAGGCACGTTTCCCATGTCTTCTCACGATGCCTCTCTCCATCAGTTCACTGCTGACTTTGAAGACTGTGAATTGAGTAGCCATTTTGCAGATTTCAGTCTCGTCGAAAGTCAGATCTTGCTGGATTCTGATTCAGGAGGAGCCTCCCAGTCTCTTTCAGAGGATAAAGACCTTAGTGACTGTGCTAGGGAGCCATTATATGAAGGAACTGCAGGTAAATGCAGACCTTTGCTTTCATCCCTCTTGGTGAGTTTAAGGAGAATGATTGGAGGGTTATTTTTCCATATAAACAAAGGGTGTGATTCCTCTTCTCTTTCTTTTGATTAATTGTTTTGGCTTCATTTAAGGAGTTTTTATTTATATACCTATTTTTCATTATCAAATAAAAATCACCTTCCCTATTTAATAGACTTAATCATTTAGTACCTGTTCAGTTGTCCAGGGACACTCTGTGTGTGGTGGCTGACTGGGAACATACTTTGTGAACACATTTCATATTTCCGAATAGATTCTGGTTCTGAAATAGCAAGGCTCTCTTCTTTAAGAGGGTTTTCTTTTAAAAGTTGACCTAAAACAGATGAAAACCAAGGCAGTTAACATACTAGCTGATTAGTACCAAGGTTCAGTGTTTAGATTGTTCAGGGAATTCTATATAAATACAGTTTTTGTTTCAAGCCAGACTCCTTGTCTGCGGAAAGTTGATTGGAACAGCAGGTTGCAGTGTATGGTATTGCCCTGCCACCTTCTGGCCAGGTTAACAGTTGCAGCCCCGGGACGAGATGAGAGATTGGCGTTCTTAGGCCTGCATTTGTATTCAGACAGACAGAAACAGGAAGAATATCATTTTTGTTTGTTTGTTTTCCTTTGCAAAGCAGGAACTTTGAGTATGTTAGATACGACTGTAAAGAGCTCAGGATGGTCCTCTTGTTGGCAGATGAGCACTGTTGTGGTCTGAGGAGGATGATGTGTTCCAGAGCTAACTTGAGACAAAATGTGAAATAAAAGCTCCAGTGATGGTCTACAGGAGTCCTGTTCATGGCCACATGTTTTACTGACCACACAAAGAGGGCAGGGCTCTATAGAAGTGCTCTCTTGCTAGAAACATTTTTATTTGTGTGTATGGTCCTAAGAATTCTAAGTAATTAATTGGCCAATTCAGATGTTTAAAGACATTGACAAATCCAGCTTGTTTCTGTGGTTGCAAATACTGAAGACTGAAGTCCTGTGCCCTGCCACTGGCCTGGGACAGGAGGGCCCGTGAGACATTTATGTGGTATGTGCGCCCCCTCCTGGGGAGATGTCAAAACTGCAAGTAATGGGTTGTGGAAATAACCACAAAGAATTAAATAACCAGTGGAATGGTGTGTACATAATGGTCCCAACAAAACAGAAAGCTGCGTGAGACCTTACCACTGCTTCTGGGAAGGAGTGTGTGTGTGTGTGTGTGTGTGTGTGTGTGTGTGTGATGGGGGGTGCATACCACTCCTGGAACCAGCCAAGCCTCCACGCACATTTTAGTCACCACCATGTTCGGGTAAACACGCTACCCCGTCGCTCAGGCTTATGGTTCCTTATCTGCAAAATGGGGTTGCCACAGTAATCCTAGCGTCAGGCTGAGGGATTCATGCGGTGATACATGTGAAGCACCTAGCAGTACTGGCACTCAGCGCATAGTTCGTGTAATTATGAGTATTCTGTGACAGTGATGGTGATAAGTAATACCACCTGGCTACATACAGTTCTTACCATGAACCGTGGAAAGCTATGAGAAGAAAGAGTAGAAAATGGAATGTTCTGTGTGCCAGCATTCCTTCCTGTGCTTTGAACTTAACATTTCTTGACCTTTCAAGCTGTTTTGCTCTTTCTGTATTTGGAGTGGTATCTAGTGACCACTTCTAATGTTCGGTCAATTTGGAGAGGCAGTAAGTGAGGCTGGATGCTGGAGAAGCAGGGAGAGGGATCAGAGAAAAAATGGCCTAGGGTCTGTCACCCACCCAGTAATCCTGAGGCCTGAGAGTCCTGTCCTGCAAGTATCTCTGGCTGGCCCACGCCTTACTCCTGACAATTGGGTCTTGCTGTGTCTGAAAAGTTTGTGGCTGGAGACAGGTATCTGTGAAGCTTTTGTGAGACCACTTTTAACTCTTTTAAATGCATGTATTAGAAAACTGCTGTTAAAATGTTACCGTAAGAGAAAATATATCCAGGAGCTTTGATTGCAGATAATATTCAGTAGCATGTCTGAAAACAACTGAAAGCATGTATTTAACCACAAAGACTAATTCTCAAAAGTTAGCTGGGCATGGTGGTGCACACTTGTGGTCCCAGGAGGCTGAGGCCGGAGGATGTCAAGGCTGCAGTGAGCTGAGATTGCACCACTGCACTCCAGCCTAGGCGACAGGAGTGAGACCCCGTCTCAAAAAAAAGAAAGATGAATGCTCTTCAGGTCACCAACACTTTTTTTCAGGGGACGTCTGCCCTTCATGTAGGGGCGGGTAGCTCCCTATCAGGGACGTTTGTCGTCTTCCTCAGTGCTCTAGAGGCTTAGGCAGGTAAAGTCAAGTCCCTTTTATGTAAACTGCTCTCCGGTGCCAGTCCCTGCTGGATGACAGCAACCCCGTTGGAATAACTACGAAGGCCTTCCACATTCAGTCTCTGTCATTGTCAAAGTCAATTTCAGGCTGCTGTGGTTATTCCTGGGGGTAATCAATAAATCATATCATCACCTTCACCCCTCACAAAGGGTGGTGGGCGAAGAGAAGGCACTTCATCATCAAGGAAAAAGCATTCCCACTGCCAGAAATAAAAGGGAAAATGCAGCAATCAATCCTGTAATCTGAAGCCTTAAAACTTAAACATCTTAACAAGATGTAAAGTCACGACTCAGAAGGGGGCCGAAATGCATACCAATACAGATCCCTGCGCTCACTCTCACTCACTGGAGGATGAAAGAGCACCACAGGCTTGCAGCTCATTATGGTACAGAGCACAGCCTTAAATGAATGCTCCTTGCTCACTGCAGGATGCTGGTGTATGAATATGAGTTAGAGATAAAAGTTAAGTGGTCATTGGTGCTAAAGATTCAGTAGCACAAGAAGTTTTTTAATGGTATTAGCTGGTGCGGAGTTCCTGTAAGTCAAAGACATTTTTCTTAATTTCTGTTAGAATAGTGGCGCAGGAGATACAGAATGTGGCATGTGGAGAGAAGGGGAGAGCAAAAGAGGTGGGAACTTGCCCACTGAGTAGCTAGAAGCTCTCTGTGATAGAAATGTCACTTGAGGGAGATAGATCATTTCCTATTCCTGAATAAATGAACACTGCAGTGAATGCTTGAAAGGAAGAGACTAAGGACCAATGAGAATTTGTCTAATTCATCCCTTCCCTTAAAGCATTTCAGGGCAAAGAAAAACCATATTCTCTTCCAAATAATGACTGAAATAACTGGTGTCCCAAGAAGCTTAAAAGTCGTAGTGCCTTGAAATTGTTTACATCTGTTGATTTGAATATTAACATCCTCGACTCCCAGAAGGAAATCTTATTTTGGATCGCTCATGACCAAACTGTGTGTGTATTTAATGCTTAACTTTTCTGAATAAGATGTTCTGATGAGTACTCTCCCCTTCATAGATGTGGAAAAACCATTACCAAAAAGAAGAGTGATCCATCTGCTTGGGGAGAAAACCACTTGTGTGTCGGCTGCTGTATCTGATGAGTCTGTGGCTGGAGACAGTGGGGTCTATGAAGCTTTCATGAAACAGTAAGGATTCAGCAGGGGTGCTTATTAGCTACAGCCATCTCCTTAGCCATGGATGTGGGTTACATGCTGTAAATGCCCTGCTACCATTAGTCCACTCTTTGGCATAGTAAGGACTTTAGCCATTAAAGAAGTAGTGTGCCTGAAAATTTCAGTATGTCAAAAATGACTTATCAGCCATGGGAATGATAAACAGGTTGATGTACCCAGAGGTAACTGACCCTCTTTAAAATACAAAAACCTTTGTTTTAGTGGAAATATTGGAAAAATTCACCAGACCCTGTTTGGCACATGAAGCTTCTCATGTGTATTTCTGAAAGCCTGGAATGTCTCTATGGTGTGGTATATTTCTAGTAATAAGGAAAGCAATCATCAGAAAGGCTTTGCCTGAAAGCCCAGAGGCAGACTCTTCTTGAAAAGAGAAAGCCTCTAAAACAGTTAGCTTTCACTGGCATCAGTTCCACTGGGTGGGCCTAAGAGTGATGTTAATTTGGGTTTTCATTCAGAATCACTAAGTGGCAAACTGTAACCATAACAATCGATAACCCCATTAATTAACTGTTCATCTACTCCCTGTCCACATAGACCTAGTGAAATTGAAGATGTCACATACAGTGAAGAGGACGTTGCCATTGTAGAAACTGCCCAGGTTCAGATAGGACTCAGGTAAGGAACATGCATGGGAAAGGAGCAGTTCTGACGTTTGTGCAGGGCGAGTGGCCTGTGGTGATTTCTGACTTCATTTATCCTCTCTTTTGACAGATATAATGCAAAAAGTTCAAGTTTCATGGTGATTATAGCACAACTCCGAAACCTTCATGCCTTCTTGATACCTCATACTTCAAAAGTGTAAGTAAAATCAGTGAAGATCAAATTGAGGAACTTAAAAATTTCCATGTAAGAGAATTTTACACTGTAATCATATAGTTCATCAAAGTAAGGATGTGAAAAAGACATAGCAGGGCTGAGCACGTCTAATAAATGATAGATACAGATGAAAAGGAAAATGTGAGGAAGGCATACTGGGTTTTAATTCTTACTCAGCTGATTCTTTTTAAGGATAGAAGCCAAGAATTTTAATCTCTTTTTTGTAACCAGAAATACTGTATTATGCTGTGTTGGAATTTGATTGAAATATGAGTAAAATTTTTGTTATTGTGTAATTCTTACTACTGTTGTTTAAGGAATTTTCTGATCTTTTACGTTAAAATATAGTGATTAAATTTTATTTATCAGTACAACATTGGCAATCAAACATTTTATCATGCTACATGTAAGAGCATGTTTTTATCATCAAGCATTTACTTCCCTGTGACCAGTGAGCTCTTAAAGTTTACTTTATCACACCAAGAATACCAACAAAGTGATGACATAATGCTACACAGTCCATTGCTTAGAAACTGTTAATTTCCTGACAGATACGCCTAAAGATCTTATGACAAATAAGTCTAGGAGTCTTAGACACCACCAATCACATTTTCTGACATCAGAGTTTCAGTGACTCTGAAGGGCTTATGGCTAGAAAGTACCGAGAAGAATCCAGATTTACACTTAGCACCTCTGACATAGAATCCAGAATATACATGTCTACTCTGCATTGAAACTTCTGTAAGAGGTGGATCTTAATAATATTTTGAATATGCAGCATAAAGGTTTGGAAATTTAAAAAGAGCTGTTGAGGGGTGATCCCCAAGACTCCATACCCAGCCAGGTGAATGGTTTTTTTTTTTTAAATGATAGAGTATATTCCTTAGTGATAGGACTTATAATAGAATAAATTTAAGAGTTCTGGATGTTTTTCCGACAGACTTGTAAGTTCACACCCTAACATTCCAATAATTGTCAGAAGAAACTGGATCTAAGAGAAAAAGAACTAGATAGAGATTGTGTAATTGACAGTAGAGATAATGGATTTCTTTTTTTTTTTAAAAGATGGGGTCTCACCATGTTGCCCAGGCTGGTCTTGAACTCCCTGGGTTCTCCCACCTCAGCCTCCCAAAGTGCTGGGATTACAGGCATGAGCCACCAAGCTTAGTCGAGATAGTAGATTTTAATGTGTTGAGAAGCATCAAAGCTGGAGGTAGAATAGGATTCCAGGAGGAAGGTGAGCTTAGAGAACTTCCTGAATCAAGGCATGGGCTGTCCACATCATTAGTGAGACCAGTGAGGAGAGCAGGCGTAACGTGGAAGTGCCTAAATCAACACAGAGAGCCTGCTTCCCAGGCCTGAGATGAAAACCACAGCCAGTGGTGTCCAGGAAGACTGGCTTGATATAATCTGTGACTTCTCCCCACTGATAAATAAGCTGTGATGTTGGAGCATGCCATTGGTGGCCTTTTAGTAAAGCAGATCACAGAGAAGACAAATCTGCCAGAGACTGAAAAAATGAACAGTGAGAACTAATGCACAACTTCAGGAGAAAACTACAGAACACCCTAAGAACACATACTTTCTTTAAACTCACTGTAAGGGTACACCTACAATATGCTCTACTTCAACTAAACCAGTCATGGCCATTCTCACTTACCTCTTAGGATGCCACAAAGTCCCTTCCGGAGGCATGGTGATACCAGCGTGGTGTAGGACCAATGAAATACTCAGCCCAACCAATAAGTAGACATTGCTCTTCTGCTCCCCAGCTGGTGTGCAGGCGCCTGTTGAGTTCGTGTGAACCTTCCTGACATATATAGCAATCTTTCCTTAAACCCATATAGAAAAGCCTTGGCCTAATAATGACACTGCTAAATATGACAGTTAGTATGAAATATTCTTAAAATTGCTTTTCTCCCAAATTCAAAAGTTATTTTTTGATTATTAATTGTGACAAGCAGAGTTTATGCTTCGTCTGGTTAACAACAGCCACGGTATTTTTGTGAGTGGCTCATGGCTTGCTGGACTCCAGTTTGAAGAGGTGCACCCCACATACACAACCACCCCTACAACAGAATGAAAGGGAACTTCCTTCTTTGCCTTATGTACTTGGCTTTTAACTGTGTAAAATATGAAGACTTGAAACACAGAAGATCCCTGCCCTCTATGGCCACCCTAATATACTTCTCCTTTACTACTTTTCCATGAAAGTGGAGAAAAGATTTTCTTCTGTTGAATCTTTGGCCTCCCAGGGACAGTGAGCTGTGTCTTAGTAAGGCTCTTAAATCAACAGCAGTGGCCTGAGGCCCACTAGATTTTCAGTGCTGAATCTCCATAATTAATATTGATATGAAATACAAAATAATAGGACATTCGTCAGTTCTGCATGTGAATTAGAGTTTTTCTAACTGGAGAAAGGCATGTTTTAGAATACAGATTAGATAAACGTGGAAATGAGAGTGGAGGGGATAGAGTTAGCATATTCTCTTTCTGGGATTACCTTGTGCTGTTTCTAAGAATTGTGGGTCCTCATATAATGTGTGCTCAGAAAAGTCACTTTAAAGTAGTATTAGAAGTTATTGTTTTTCTGTAACTCTCTGAATGTTACAAAGCACAAGAGTCTTTTAAGACAGTTTGTCATATCTCAGACTTTGGAGATGCTAGACAGTGATATTTTTGAACTGTTATTTCATCTGTTTAAATTTTCTTAACAATATGCTACTTAGCCTTTCTTTTTCTCTAGTAGGATAATGTATTCCATTCCTGGGAAGTGATCATCAGCATCTCTTGTTTAATACTCAGGATGAGGATTGTTTGGGATAAAGTCACCAGTATCTACTTAGTGTGTTCCTACCTTCCCAGGCTCAGAAATAACTTGTTTTGGAATTGGCTGTACATGGGGCAGGTGGGACGTTAAATTCGTCTGCCCCACGGACTTTCTTCCTCTTCACTTTCCTATCATGTGCCTTTGCTGCAGTCTCGTGGTGAGTGGAGGCTGGGCCGTTGCATGCTCAGGGGCGTAGTCAGCTTGGGTGGGTTAAGAACAGAGCATCTATGCAGCTGAGCACGGACCCATGATGGCAGCAACACTGTAGATTGATAATGAACTCCATGATCTCTCATTTTCTCTTTGCAGATAATTTCAAATGATAGCTGTGAACCTGATATAATTAAAGTACCTATGAAATCCATTTTATTTTTCTTCTTTGCAGATATTTTCGGGTTGCCGTTCTTCCCTCCTCAACTGATGTCAGCAGTCTGTTTCGCACAAAAGTTCATCCGCCCACAGAATCCATTTTGTTCAATGATGTGTTCAGAGTCGCCATTTCCCAAATAGCCTTACAACAGAAGACACTGAGAGTAGACCTTTGCTCTGTCAGTAAACACCGAAGGGAAGAATGCCTGGTAAGATTCTTGATAATTCCCACTATCAGATAACACTTATGGTAGGATGGTCTGAGAAGATATTTTGTAGTTGCTATTTTGCCAGCCCTAGAAACCCCTACAGACCTGCCCAGCATCTTGGGACACATTGAATGTTTGTTCATTTTTTTCTGTAGTGGTTTCTGTTCATTCTCTTAATCCAGACCTTTAAAATCTGCTTATAGATTGTGATTTTCTGTAAAAGCTGCTTTCTATTTCTGCCTTTTAATCACAGGAGAACTTTACCTCTGTGATAACTATCACTCATGGAGTGTGCTTATCATTGTGCTAATGACAAGCCTTGTGTGAGTGCTGTGTGTGTATTATCTCATTTAATCCTCATGACAACCTGATGAAAGGTTGGTTATGAAACAGATGATTATCCGCTATTTTCAGATAAGGAGCTGCTTAGAGAGGTCATTTATACTGCATTCAGACAACTAGTAAATGATGAAGCCAGATATCAAAAAGACATCCCCACATAATTCACTGTTACAAAGTAAAATTAAGCAAGACCACTGAGTACTATATAGTACCCTTATTCAGCTCATTCTCTCCCACCACAGTATTGGAGTTTTGGGAAGACATAGTGTTACTGTTTAGAGCAATATGAAATTTAAATGCTACAGCAGAAGAATTCCCACTAATTGTGAGTTTTAAACACTGTTATGCATAATAACCAGAAAACCACCAGGTCCCAGTAAAGTTACATAGGTATTCAGATGCAGGCATCTAGAGATGTGCCCATGTGTTCAAAATACAATGTGAGTCTCCAGTTGAGCTTTTCTCTGCAGTCCAGTGGGAAGCACAGAAACACACGTTTCATGATGAACAAAGTTTAAGAGTGGTAGGTTTCTTCTTAATTTTATTTCTTGTTTTCTTTACTTGAAAAAAATGTCTGATGATATTGTCTGACAATAAAGTTAGAGAGAAGCAAAGATCACAGACTTGTTAGGCTATCAGAAAGGCTTTACTATAATAGATGTTGTATTTAGTATAATAGACGTCAGAGGCTCCAATAAAGTTCATAATCGATAGCCTTAAAGAAGAGTATAACTTAATTTAGATTTTTGCTATGTGTGATTTGGTAGAATATGAAAGCCTTTATCCTTTACTTTTATTGCCATTTTACTAATTTATGAATCCAAAGAAAACTATTGCTATCTGATGTCTTATTCAAGAACCAAAGTGGAGTTTTTATTTGTTTTTCAGTGGATAATGGGTTGTTTGTGAGTAATAATCGAGTCATCTTTACAGCATATTATAAGAAGTACTATGAGGCCAGGCGTGGTGGCTCACACCTGTAATCCCAGCACTTTGGGAGGCCAAGGCAGGCGGATCACCTGAGGTCAGGAGTTTGAGACCAGCCTGGCCAACATGGTGAAAACCCGTCTCTACTAAAAGTACAAAAATTAGCTGAGCGTTGTCACGTGTGGCTGTAATCCCAGCTACTCAGGAGGCTGAGGTAGGAGAATCACTTGAACCCAGGAGGTGGAAGTTGCAGTGAGCTGAGATTGTGCCACTGCACTCCAGTCTGGGAGACAGAGCAAGACTCCATCTCAATAATAACAATAATAATAATAATAATTTTACGTTTACAGAAAAGGCATGCTTAGTCATTAGGTCTTCGTAAAATAGTATCTCAAACTAATCCCAGGATTAGCTTTTAGATTGGGGGTTATTTCTTATTTAGTCACAGCTGAAAATATAACATATCTCCATGTTTTAAAAAATCCAGCAATGCTTTATGTCATGAGAATTGCATTTTTTTTTTACCCTAAAACAAGCTCATTCAATAATCTTCTTTATATCAGAGCAAATACTAATTTAAACGTTTTATTTTCTCTCTTCTTTTCTTGTTTTCTTTCACTTACATAGGCTGGAACTCATATCAGCCTGGCAGATTTACCATTTTCCAATGAGGTTTTCACTCTATGGTATAACTTGCTTCCTTCCAAGCAAATGCCTTGCAAAGAGAATGAAGAAAATGAGGACTCTGTATTTCAACCAAACCAGCCATTAGTAGATTCCATAGACTTGGTGAGTCAAAATTAAAGAATAATATGAAAGTAATATGAAATGTGGAATGCTGCAAGACCAACGTGTTTTTATCACTTTTACTATCCTTCCTTTTCTCGTTCACAACTTTGTTTCTCCCAGTTTGCCAAGAAAAAAGAAAGTTAATTTCCAGCTTTGTTTCAAATATGGTTTATAAAAGGACCATCATTTTCTGCTCACACCTCCTTATTAAAATAAACTGGCATAAAGGCTTCATTGTTTTTAAGTGATCATGGAAAAAAAACCTTTTTAAATATATACTTTTTACGCATTGTGTTTATATTGTTTGATTCCACTGGCAGGTTATACATTTGGCACTTTTATATTTTGCAAATTTGAAATTATTAAGTCTAAACAGTGTATTAGCTTTTCATTTGTAACATCAATAGCCATAAACGTTTTCTATTAAATAGTTTTTTGGGGACTGGGCGAGGTGGCTCAGGCTCGTAATTCCTTGCTTTTGCTTAGGAGTTCAAGACCAGCCTGGGCAACGTGGCAAGACCCCGTCTCTACAAAAAAGCAAAAAAGTTAGCTGAGTGCAGTGATGCACACCGGCAGTCCTAGCTCCTGGGGAGGCTGAGGTGGGTGGATTGATTGAGTCCAGGAAGTCGAAGCTGTAGTGAGCCATGATCATGTCACTGCCCTCTAGCAGTGGGGGTGGATTGTAGCCAGCAGTCAAACTGCAATACAGTACTTCAAAAAATTTGCAAAGGGGCATTTTGTGAGGGCATTCATCACAGATTTGGCATTTGTGGATATTGTTACTGAGTTCAAGTTTATTTTAGATTATGAGGAAAGCATTCCCTAAGCAAAGGTCAGATAATTAAACAACAGTGTTTTATTGGTCGTCTGCTGTGTGTGAGAAACTGTTGTAGACGCTGTGTAGTGGGTGGTGAAAGGGAAACAGACATGATGATACAGTTTAGATTACATGCCCAGCCGTGTGGAAGACACTAAACCATGCATACAAGATGGCAAAATATGATTTTTCAGTCCTTAAGGATGCTTTTATAATGGTCACACTTTATGTAAGTTCTTAAAAATAGCTTTATTACAATATAATTCATACATCATACATTTCACCTATTTAAAGTGTGACAGTTTATCCATTTGAAGCACCCAACTCAATGGTTTTTTGGATATTCACAGAGTTGTGTGTGCAACCAGCATTACAGTCTAATATTAGAATATTGTCATCATCCCCAAAGAAGCCCCGTACATGAGCCGAGACTCCCAGTTCTCCCAAACCTCTTTCCCCCAAGGCAACCACTAATCTCTGCTACAAGGCAAACACTAATCTCAGTCTCTCTAAATTTGCTTCTTCTGGATGTTTCATGTAAGTGGAATAATATTTGTTCTTTTGTGGCATCTCTTTCACTCAGCATGATATTTTCAAGGTACCTCCATGGTATTGCAGTATTAGTATTTTATTCCTTTTTATTCACACATGATATTCTATTGTGGATGTACCACATTTTATCTGTTCATCAGCTGATGGGCATTTGGGTTATTTCTGCTTTTGGGCTATTATGAAAAATTCAGCTATGAACATTTGTATATAAGTGTTTTTGTGTACATATGTTTTTATTTCTCCAGAGTATATACCTATGAGTAGAATTGTTGGATTGTATAATAACTCTGTATTTAATATTTTTATGTTTTTATTTCTCCGGAGTATATACCTATGAGTAGAATTGTTGGATTGTATAATAACTCTGTATTTAATATTTTGAGAAACAGCTAAACTGCTTGCCTAGGTGTTTGCACCATTTTGAATTCCTATCAGCGTGTATGAGGGTTCCATTTTCTCCCTTGCCATGTGTTATCTGTCTTTCTGATTCTTGCCATTCTGGTGAGTGTGAAGTGGTATTTCACTGTGGCTTTGATTGACATTTCCCTAATGACTATGATGGTGAGCATCATAGGTTTATTGGCCATTAGTATGTCTTTTTTTTTTTTTTTTTTTTTTTTTGAGAAATTTTTTTTCTTTTTTTTTTTTTTTTTTTTTAATTTTTTTTTTTTTTTTGTTGAGTTATAAGAGTTCCTTACCTATTCTTGATATAAACCCTTTATCAGATAAATGATCCATAGATATTTTCTCTGATTCTGTGGGTTGACTTCTCACTTTCTTGATGGTTTTATTTACAGCACAAAAGTTTTTAATTTTCATAAGTCCAATTTATCCATTTTTTTTTAAATCCTGTGCTGTTGGTATCATAGTTAAGACTTCTTTGCCTAAATTAACATCACAAACATTTACTCCTGTGTCTTTTTCTAACAGTTTTAAAGTCTTATATTTAGGTCTCTGATTCAGTTATTAATGAAACTCTGTTCATTTGAGTTTTGTTTTTTCGTATGTGGATATGCAATTGTCCCAGCACCATTTATTGCAAAAATGATTCTTTCCTCTTGAATTATCTTGGCACCCTTCTTGAAAATCAAGTGTGAGAGTTTACATTTCTGGACTCTCAATCTTGTTTAGTAATCCATATGTCTGTACTTAAGCCAGTACTACATTGCCTTGATTACTATTGCTTTGTAGTCAAATTTGAGATCAGGAAGTATGGGTTTTCTAACTTTCATTTTCTTTTTAAAGATTGTTTTGGCTATTTAGAGTCCCTTGTATTTCTATAAGAGTTTTAGTATCAGTTTACTAATTTCTGCAAAAAAAAAAAAAGACAGCTAGGAGTTTCCTAGGGGTAGCATTGGACCTGTGGGTCAGTTCGGAAGATACTGTCATCATAACAGTTCTAAGTCTTCTGATCTGTGAACATAGGACATATTTCCATTTGTTTATGTCTTTAATTTCTTTCAATAATTTTTTATAATTTTCAGAGTCAAAGTTTGCTTTTCTTTCTTTTATCTTTTTTTCCTTTTTTCTTTTTTATTTTTATGTCAGATGGGTAATGTGCTGATGTTCTAATGAGGTTTGAGGGAGGTATATCTCACACATAAGTGTGAAAACCTAACCATCATACTTAGGAACTACAAAAGAATCGGTATGCACTTCTTTTGTTAAATGTGTTTCTAAATGTTCTATTCTTTCTGATGCTATTGTGAATGGAACTGGGCTTTTAAAAGTTTTGTTCATCATGACCCCCATACAGCAACATAAAAAAGATACACACTATGACCAAGTGAATGCAAGGTTGGTTTAACACTTGAAAATAAATTAATAAATTATATCAGATATTTAATCATTTAAATGTTTTAGTCATTTAAAATAAAGTTTGAGGACCCACTGAAACAGTGTGATGTTTCAGTACATGTATTCATTATATAATGATCAAATCAGGGTAAATTAACAAAACCATCACCTGAAACATTTATTTCTTTGTGATGAGACCATTCAAAATCCTTTCTTGTAGCTATTATGAAGTATATAATATAATGTTGTTATGATCACCCTATTGTACATTAAAACAGCAGAACTTATTCTGCCTATCTGGCTGTAACTTGATATTCCTGTTGACTAACCTTTCCCTTTCCTCCCCACCTTCCCTACTCTCCCCAGCCACCGTGGAACTGTTTTCTCAGTTGTATGTTTAATTGTTTGTTGCACAATTGATTTTGTTTATCTTGTATCCGGCAACCTTGCTGAACTCATTTATTAATAGTTTTTTAGTGGATTCCATAAGATTTTCTATAAGATTGTATTGTTTGCAAAGAGAGATTATTTTACTTCTTCCTTTCCAGTCATATGCCTTTTATTTCTTTTTTTTGCCTATTTGCCCTGGCTGGAACTTCCCAAACAATATTGAAAGAAGTGGTAAAAGCAGACATCCTTGTCTTGGTCCTGATCTTACTGGAGAAGCTTTCAGTCTTTCATCGTTAAGTATGACTTTGGCTGTGCCTTTTTCATAGATGCCCTTTATCAGAATGAGGAAAAGCTCTTCTTTTCCTACTTTGTTGACTACTTCTAATTATTAAAGGCTGTTGAATTTGTAAAATGCATTTTCTGCATCTGTTGAGATGGTCATGTGGTTTTTGTTCTTTATTCAGTTGATATAATTTATTAATTGATTTTCACATGTTCAACCAATTCTGCATTCCTTGGATAAATCTCACTTGGTCATAGCATAGATCCTTTTTATGTTGTTGGACTCAGATTGCTAATATTTCATTGAGGATTTTTGTGTCCGTATTCATAGCTTTGTCATGATAGCTTTGGTTTTCATCAGGCTAATTCTGGCCTCATAGTATGAGTTAGAAAGCGTTCTACCTTTTGGAAGAGTTTGAGAAGAAGTTGTATTAATTCTGTAAATATCTGGTAGAATTCACAGGTGAAGCCATTCAGTCCTGGACTTTTCTTTGTGGGGAGTTTTTAGTTTAGAGATTCTATCTCTGTACTTCAGTCTACTTAGACTTATAAGTATTGCTTTTTGAGTCTGTTATTAGGTAAATGTAAATTTAGCATTTACCTTTAGCATTGTATTGCATCTTTCTGTTCAACTGAACCTTTTATCATTAAGAAGTGTTCTTTTTTATCTCTAGCAGTACCTCTTGTTTTAAACTCTAGTTTGTCTAGTGTTAGTAAAGCTACATATCGACCATTTTGGGTTAGTGTTTGCATGGTTTATCTTTTTTCATCCTTTTACTTTCAACCTTTCTAGGTTATTATATTTAAATTATACTACTTATAAGCAGTATATAGTTAGTTTTGATTTATTATCCAGTCTTAAAATCTTCATCTTTTAATTGAAATATTTAGTTCATTTACTTTTAATGCTATAATTGATATATTTGTGGTTTTATTGATATATTTGTGGTTGACTCTATTATCTTCCTATTTGTTTTCTTTTAATTCCATGTTTATTCTTTTTCTTTTCTTGTTTTGAATCATTTTTAAATTTTCGTTTCCCCCCTGCTAGATCTGCAGTCTTTTATTTTTTGTACTTTCCCTGGAGATTATAGCATGAGTTCTTATTAAAAACCAACTTAAATTAATTTCTTTACTTTTCTCAGACAATGCAAAGATTTTAAAAGACTTTAGCTTCTTTTTATTCTCTTTCTGCCTTCTGTGCTGTGTCATATATTTTGAATCTGTAAGATATTCGTATTGTTTTCATTGACAGTATTTATTTAGATTTCCTCACATTTTTACCTTTTTGTTATATTTCATTTCTTTCTGCATCATTGTGCTTCTATTTGAGACATTTTACTTCTGCTCAAAGAATTCCCTTTAATATTTCTTTTAGCATAGATCTGTTAGTATCTATTTCAACTTCATTTGCGAAAGACAGTTTTTTTGCTGCATATTCAAAATTCTAGATTGACAGTTATTTCTTTGAACATGTTAAAAATATCATTTTATTGTCATCCAGTTTCTATTTATTCTGTTGAGCTTTTGAAGAACAACTTAATTGTTGATTCATATACATTATTTATTTTACTGCTTGTAAGATTCCTCTTTTTCTTTGATTTTCAGCAGTTTCAGTCTGATATGCTAATGTTATTTTCTTTGTGTTTATACCAGTGAAATTCTTTATCATTTCATTCAGTTTTTTATGCATATTATTCATAAAAATTTAAAATTTTCTCTCAGTGCCCATAGTGTGTGAATCATCTGCAGGTCTGCTTTGTTTGGCTGTTGTTTCTCTTGACTTTCACTCTTTAAGTCATAATGAAATGTTGGATATTATGTATGAGGGTGTCTGACTGATACTTTCCCCCAGAGAGGATTTGCCTCTGAAAGGCAAATTACAATATGGGTAGCTTACCTGAATCATGTGGGGACCTGAATTACAGTTTTTCTCTCCATGAGACCATATGAGACAATGGAAGTATCTGCTTACTGTTTTAGCCTGATAGCCGCTGGTTTTTTTGCTTTCCCAGCTTGTTGCTCTGCATATAGGCAGCTTAGGAATGGCAAATGCCATGATAGGAATATCATGAAGAAAATTAAGCTCCCTTTACAATTCATTTCTTCTAATCCCTTGTGGGTTGACTGTTTTAGCCTTCCCTTCTTGCTGACATTGCCACCATTCTAGGCAGCCACAGTGTGTTTTCCCCACTTATCTCACCACTAGAATTGACAAACAACCCTACGGGAAAAGAGTGGCAATGGCTCACCTTATTATATTTCTGTTCTGCCTGGGATCTTTGTACTCTAGTCCTGATTGCCTTTGTTGCTCTTCATTGCTTTAAAACATCTGGAAGGTTTTGCTTGTTTTGGCTTATATTTTATTCAGCTTTCATATTTGTTTTCAGCAAGAGAGTTGGGTCTTCTTTACAGATAGAAGTGTAAATTCCCATCTGTTGAGTTTTTAAATCATTTCTTCAAGTATATGTTGTGAATTGCCATATGCTTTACTTTCTCCAGGATGCAGTGTCAGCCTTACTTGCAAGAACATCAGCTGAGTTGTTAGCTGTGGAACAAGAATTAGCACAAGAAGCAGAAGCAGAAGAAGAAGAAGAAGAGCCAAGAAAAGAAGAGCAAAGGGGTCCAGAAGGAGACTGGTTAAACAGTTATTTCCTTTTGCTATTGGGAACTCAAAGAGAATGTGTTTACATGTCTTAGAATAAAACCTTTGTAGGCTCATGTTTTATTCCAGAATTATGAAATGCACTGCAGCTTTAGGAAGTAATGCTAGAAAAAGTCTTTCCTTGGTCATTAGAGTTAAGAAAGTAAAGGCAGTTTGTGGGCAAAGTTAAGACATTAGCCAGATTCTTTGTTCTTGTTTCAAGTAATTTAAAAACACTATTTTCTGAGCTTTTTTTTTTAATTTCTTTTTTTTTTTTTT